GAAATAGTTCAAGCTTTGTTGTGCACACGAGATTGGCTATTTGGAAAAGGAGGTAATATATTTTTATATGGTATAGTATTATTATTTTATTTCTTTTCATAATTATTTTGTTTAACTTTTCACAATTGAATGATTTTTAATGTTTGCTTTTTCTATACTTAGTTTATGCGGAAGAGAGTTCTGACGTGGAAAATCTTACTGAAAACATCTTCAACATAACTCTTGAAGGCAATAGATCAAGCCAAAGTTCCAATACAATTTCATGAAGTTCGATGTAAATTGAAGATTTTGTAAATGGAGGTGTAAACTTTTAAGAAAGACTTACAATCTTAAAAACAAAAACTCTTTATCCTTGCACATTTAATATTTGTAATAGATTAGTAGCGTATGTATTATTTTTTTATTAGACTTTTATTTTCGAGTGTAGATATAGTACTTGAACGAGAAATGTTTTAATGTTTTCAAGTAATATTTATGTCGCAATGTGTGGTATGTGCAAATTTTAAAAAAATATATTTTTTTCTTAACGGGTCATAACGGGTCGGGTCACTTTACCCGTTGGGTAAAGTGACACGACCTGTTAAGGACCCGTTAAGATAACGGGTGTGACACGACACGACCCGTTAAGATAATAGGTGTTACATGAAAACGACACGAACACGATAGACACGATCCGTTTGCCAGGCCTACTTGAGTTGTTCCAACCAGTGAGTTGTTCACCAGCTCTCCCACTCCCCATCCACACTATCCACATGGCTCTTTGTGAGCCCTTGATTTCAAAACATTGTTCAATTCAACTACTAGGATTAATTCAACTCTAAAAAATTAAAAAAAAAAAAACATAAAAATTACCCAAAAAATATAAAAAATAAAGCAAACCTAAAAAGTTCACACTTTAAACTTACACAAAAATCTATAAGATAATGATATGCGTGCCGAAGAAAACATTAAAAAAAATAAAAGAAAATATGTTTGGAAATCGTAATTGCTCTTGTCCTTTCCCTTCTTTCTTTCAAACGGATGAACATGTAGAAAAGCAATTACTATTTAGAGTAAATGGTGCAGGCAATTTTATTGCCCTTGCATCCAAAGTGGAGAAGCCAAAAGCTAACGTGCATTGAAGGTGTGTCAAAGAGAGGTGTTTTTCACACATTTGTTTTTTTAATTTTTCACACACATTTCTCTATTTCTAATCGTCAAATTGAATAGATTAAATGATAATTACATATAAGATTAAACAAGTGTCTATAAGAAATTAAAAAGAGTGTTTGTTTATTTCCACTAGTAAAATTGATGTTATACCTCCGCCTTTGTATTCCAAACTTACAAGTCACATATGTTAGGTAGTACCAAATAACCTTTAGTCTAGTAAGATTGTCTCTCCTTAGGCTATAGGAGGTCTCAAGTTCAACTCACATTAGTACAAAGGGCAATATACATTTCTTATATGTTCAATATTTAATTGCAGCAAGCCTATTGTAGTGATGTAGCTTTGTTGTGCCATTATGAGCGCAATGTAAAACTTTTTGTAAATATCTCATCGTTTTTTTATAAAATAAGATAAGAAAACAATTGCAACGTCAGCTAATTTGATATCTAATTCTGTTTAACTTGTTGTGAAGATGTACCTTTATTATGACCCTATAAAAGTGTATTTTAAAGATTTTATAAATGTTACATATCGTTTCTTGTTACAATGGTACGTATTACTAAATGATACGAATTTTATGCAAAATCTAACCGCTGCAAATGACTATAAATCCAAATATACAAGATCTAATAGTTACTAATAATATATTTAATCAACAATTATTATTTATTTTAAAAGTAAGTGCAGTGCAGCAGCATCTCTGTGACATCCCACATCGCCCAGGGGACTGATCCTTATATGTATATTCCATCTCTACCTAGCACGAGGCCTTTTGGGAGCTCACTGGCTTCGGGTTCCGTAGGAACTCCGAAGTTAAGCGAGTAGCGCACGAGAGCAATCCCAGGATGGGTGACCCATCGGGAAGTTCTCGTGTGAGTTCCCAAAAACAAAACCGTGAGGGAATGGTAAGCCCAAAGCGGACAATATCGTGCTACGGTGGTGGATCGGGCCCGGGTTGCGGTGGGGGCCCGGGCCGGGATGTGACAATTTGGTATCAGAGCCTATCCCTGGCCGGAAATGTGCCGACGAGGACGTCGGGCCCCTAAGGGGGGTGGATTGTGACATCCCACATCGCCCAGGGGACTGATCCTTATATGTATATTCCATCTCTACCTAGCACGAGGCCTTTTGGGAGCTCACTGGCTTCGGGTTCCGTAGGAACTCCGAAGTTAAGCGAGTAGCGCACGAGAGCAATCCCAGGATGGGTGACCCATCGGGAAGTTCTCGTGTGAGTTCCCAAAAACAAAACCGTGAGGGAATGGTAAGCCCAAAGCGGACAATATCGTGCTACGGTGGTGGATCGGGCCCGGGTTGCGGTGGGGGCCCGGGCCGGGATGTGACAATCTCTCTCCCAAGTCCCAACCGCTCACCGAAACTATAGGGATTGAGCGTTCGGATGGGTGAGAGTAATTGTCGCAGGTGACTCAAACTTTACTTGACTTGCAAGGTATTTAGTTGAATTAGGCAAAGAATAGTTGGCCAGCAGCAGCCAATAGCCAGATGACAGGATGTTGAATGTTGGAAACCAAGGTCCCAGCAACACCCAATTTTGTGTTCATCTCATAACTTCTTTTTTTAATTGATTGATTTATTTAATACAACAGTTGAATGCTGGAAATAAGGACAGAAACAAGTGAATATTTAATGTGATTAAAACATGATTTGTCTAAGTTACTTAGTACTAATGTATTGTTCTGGTCCAGGAAGAAGAGGCTGAATCAGCAGAATTGACATATGTTCACCGGTTTGATAGCAGTAGGAGGGTGTATTCCTATTCACTTGTAAGTGAGAGGTTTTAGGTTCGACTTTCACAAAAAACAAATGTGAACCATATTATTCCAAACCTATTGTGAGATTTAACCTAGTATAGAAAATATCGTTCGTTAAAAAAAAAAAAAAAAAAAAAAAACCATGATTTGTCCATCTTAGAGGCAGCACATGCAATGCACGTGACGTTCCAAGTCCCGCATCGGTACGAGTCTACATGTATTCTTTTGTGCATTGGATATTTCGGACTGACATAACCTAATTTTGTCTTCAAGATGTACTTCATAAGTTGGTTTAGCTGAACCGATCTTTGTTTAATTGAAGGGGATCTCGAGTTTGATTCGCCTGTGAATCATATGTTAGTGTTGGATCCGATACTAACTTGTGGTATATTATGATTTGTTGTAAATGAGTTAACATCTCATTGTCAATTAACTTTGTAAATATTTTATCGTTGAGAAAAAGAAATTGAAATTGTTTACAAATCAAAGGGCAATAGGGTGTTGTTACCATGCATATTAAATATGTCACAACTATATAATCAACTTGCCTTTTGAACTGGGTAATCTCTATATATAAAGAGAGCACATCAAAATGATGAAGCTTTCAATATCTTCAAAATACCCTCTTTGATTAAATTCTAAAATAAAACAATTCAATCTTAAAAATATCCAAACTAAACAAAATAAAAATGAAAAATAAATAATAAAAAATAAAATATAAAAAAGTAAATTGCCACACGTGAGGCTAGTTCGATAAGATAGGGAACCTGATCAATATTTAAGTTATAAAAATAGAAAATACAACATGTTAAGCCGATGGATAAGATGAGTAATGGTAATGATCTTTTTATTCGTCAAATATCTAATTTTCTTTATATTTGCTCTAAATAACTATTTATTCATTGGTGTTTCTTTTCATCTTGTTAAATAAGTGTTTTAACCTTTATGTTGCAAAAGAAAAAGAATGATATTACAATCTAAAACAAGAATTCACCTATTAATGATGCGTGTGTGATTTTTTTCTGTAGATGCGACATAAACAAACCTTACACGCATTAACGGATGTCTATCACTTATCTGATAGTATGTTATATATTATTGAAATTAATACCTGCAATGCTTCACTCGAGAGAGAAGCAACTGTTGGGAAAATTCCCAACTTTCCAGCCAACGCAAATATATAAATATATTCTTGAAATATTTTAAAAAAACCTCACATGCATTAAAGGACGGATGTACATTGGGACTAAGGTAGTCTCAGGACCACCTAGAGTTCGAAAAATATACATGTGAAAATCTTTTAAAGACCCTTCGAATATTTGGTATGGATCTCTTTTATGCACTAAGTGTTTGATATGATGCTTGCTAGACATATCTCGGCAGGATTCAACAGGTTGTGTCATAAGAACTCGACAAATTCTTTCTATATCACTCATTAAATTGCTTTAAAATATATCGATATCGGTTGACATGTGCGCAACATGGTTTAGTTGACAACAAACTCATCAAGTATTAAACGAAATATCACAACGAATCAATTGAAACTTTTTTGCGCTTCTCACACTCTGTTTCCGTCTAAAAAACCTAAACCTTGAAGCTACTCGGACGTGAACGAAAAAGCCAAGTACAAACAAAACAGTATCCCAACATTATTTAGAAAGCCAACATATTTGGTGACGAGGCAAACCAAATTATTTGACTATTTAAGATAGCACATAAACAAATGTGGGCCACAGGACCCACCACCCCCATCAACATTGAGAGTGAAGCCAACTAACTCGTATGAAGATGCTGACAAGATGATGCGCCTTGTTATGCCAGCCCAAAGAAACGAAGGCTGTATAATTATTATTATTTTTGTTAAATAATAAATTTATTAGATTAAAATGTTAAATTAGAAAGTCGATTATCAAACAACACTGCTCTCTACCACTTTAATAGCGTAGGGGGTCACTTGCATAATTAATTAATAGTACAGTTTTCTGGCGAAACCACAAAAAAGCCCATTTCTCACGCAGTGTCCCCCTTCCCTTGAATTATATCATCAACTGCGTTTAAAGCGCGCAAGCAACCGCTCCCTCCCTCTCTCTCTCTCTCTCTCTCTTACGCGCATTTTCTCAAACACATTGCGCGCACGGTTACACCCACTACCTGAGTTCCTGAGATACTGCCTCATACCCTCGCTTGCGCTTCCAATTCGTTTGGGTTCCTGATTTAATTCAACTTTGAATTGAAATATTTCGTTTCATTTGCTCTTGGGCAATTGAAAGTTTTGGATTTTGTGGAGAAATCGATTCGATTCTCTCTGTGGGGTTTTGGGCGCCATGGCGATTGCAGCGGCAGCTGTCATCGTCCCGCTGGGCCTGCTCTTCTTCGTCTCAGGCCTCGTCATCAATCTCATTCAGGTGCAGCTTCTTCTTCTCGCTTTTTTGCTTCATGGGTTCTGGATTTCGTTTCGTTATTGCCTAGATTTGGGTTCGTTTTAGCTCAGTTTTGTGTCTTCTGCTATCGATTTCTTCAAATTCTGCGTGACTTCCACGAGGGTTTTGCTTCTTTTCGTTTTAGTTTCATGGGTTTATTGTTTATCAAGTGGGTTGTTTGGGTAAGGTATGCCTGTCAGCTTGCCTCTCAAACTAGGTTTTGTTTCTACTTTCTATTTGTGACCTGCAAGCTTTGTTTGATTGGGAAGAACGTTTCGAAAAAGAAACGAACTTTCAAACGTTTTTTTTCAATCCTATACGCCGTCAAAACCATTGAGCTCAATTCTATTATCCAAAACTGACTACAAATTTGCGATTGGTTTGCTTCGATTCTCTGTTTCTGTTCTATTATCATATCAGTTGTGTGTGTGTGTGCGCGCGCGTGTCTATGCTACAATTTTTCTTTGAGGTTTTAGTGGATTTAGCTTACTTGGTTTGTTGTTTCAGGCGATTTGCTTCATTCTTATTCGGCCACTGTCTAAGAATACATACAGAAGGATCAACAGAGTGGTGGCAGAATTGTTGTGGCTGGAACTCGTATGGCTTATTGATTGGTGGGCAGGTGTTAAGGTACTGGCTATATCCCCCATATCTTGTGATTTTGATTATTTTGATTTCTCTTACTTCCTTAAATGCAATCGATTTATTGTATGGTGAGTACTTTTAGGTGCATTCCCACATATTATGCCAGCTTCCAACAGCTTTTTTTTTCGACCAAATTTTTTCCATACAACCCTTATGAACCAATCATGGAAACAGCCTCTTTGCAAAAGCAAGGGTAAGGCTGTGTACAATAGACGTTCCCCTGACCCTAGCAAAGTGGGGAGCCTTGTTGGCTTAGGGTCACCCTTTTAACCCTTATGAACCAATGGTTAAAGTTATTGATGGGTTTGAAAGATTCACAGCAGAATTTGCTACCACAAGAAAGACGAGAAGATTAATTCTTTTGATAAGCTTGTATAAATCCCTGAAATGCGTCACAATTCCTTAAGGAAGGCTGAGTACTTTAAATCAGTAGTAATAAAGTGAAGGACATTGCTTATGACCTGGTGTAGTGTTTACTTTAAGTTTCTTGAGATTAAAATTTTGAGTCTTGAATCTTGATTTAGTTAACTGTTGCTGTTGCAGATCCAAGTGTACACAGACCCTGAAACGTTTCATTTAATGGGTAAGGAAGGATTAAACCTTCTCTTTTGTTTGATGTTTCTTTGTGTTTAGGACTATGTATGTATTGCCCTTTTCAAAATTATGCAGGATAACTTATTTAAATGCATGTTTTCTATTTTCTAGGTAAAGAACATGCACTTGTCATGTGCAATCATAGAAGTGATATTGATTGGCTTGTTGGATGGGTCCTGGCGCAGGTACAAAGTTTATGTATCATGCTTTAGTCACTGGCATGCACAAATTCATGTAACCTGACACATAATGAGTATATAATATATTCATACGTATACTAATTATAAAAATAATGCCCATACTTATTTAGTTTTTGGCTTTTTGCATATTTACATATGATAGAGGCACCAAAAACTACATTGAAGACTTATTCACATGTACTTGTAAAAGAAGTTCACTGTTTGAATTTAGGCTTTTGGTTCAATATGGAGTTGTATTCTCTTTATACTAACGATTTAAATTAAATGTACTTATGCAGCGGTCAGGTTGCCTTGGCAGTGCCTTAGCTGTAATGAAGAAATCATCAAAGCTCCTTCCGGTATGTTCCACCATAAGATGCCCTGACAGTATGTGTTGATGAAACTTTAAGGCACTAGCTGTTAAGTTCAAAATACGTGTGTTTGTGTGCGTGCATCCACATTTATGTGAATCTTTTCTTGTCAGACACTATGACAATACATTTTTGATAGAATTTGAATCAGGACCATTGATTACATTGATTCTTGCATGTATGTTTGGTTTAGATTGTAGTTTGCCAACATAAGCATCTTATATTGACTTGCCACATTGTTTTGACAAGAGGATATTTCATATATACAAGGCTCTTCCATGGAGGAATTCAAAAAGTTGGGTCCCTTATGGGGGCCCATCAGTATTGTAGTTCAGTATCTGAACTGTCTATCTTCTACAGAATTTATTTAAGAATCATCCTGTAGATCATTGAATGTGAAATGGCAACTTAGCCTAATCATTGATCATTAAGGCATCTAATCGTGATCAAATAAATAAACCAACACAATGTTTCTGGTCAGCCCCGAATGATTGTAAATGATAATTAAGTGGTTAGGTGGTTTCGATTTTGCTGATTTTGACGAAGATGATTCTTGAATGGAGACTAAAAACAACAAATTGTTCAGATTCTTGAGCAGAATCCCCTAGAAAATTGGAGGGTCTGTATATATAACATATATTTTATCAAATGGGAATAATTTAGAATCTTAACAGCTTAGATAAGATTTTAAAAATTTAGAGTTTGTGAAGCTATTGAGGCCATTAGTTATTACTGGTTAGGAGTATCAATATTTAATTTCAGATCCTATTGTAATGTTATAGATTTTTTAATTTGATTTTATCCATTATTCATGAATTAATTAGTGGTTTTGGGTTTTTTTCCGCAAACATTGTCTTGTGGCCCCATTTTCTTTATCCAGCCTACATTTCATTCAACTTAAGTGTTATCATTTGCCTTTGCTTTTGAGGGTTTACTCCTTGTCACTAAATGGAATGCCTTTATACATGCAGGTCATAGGGTGGTCAATGTGGTTTTCTGAATATCTCTTTTTGGAAAGAAGCTGGGCCAAAGATGAAAGCACTTTAAAGGTATGGGTGTGTATGTTGTATATGTACATACAACACACTATGCACAATATACACAGGCACACATAACTTTTAACTATATAATTTTCCTTCTAATGAATTTGTAATGGAGTCTCTCTTGTCATAGTCGTCTTCAATTTGATAAAAAATCTGGGCATACCGGCATAGATATACAAAATATATTCATCTATAGAAGTGAGGTTTTGTTGCCAAGCTAAAGAATCAGCTGGTTTTTAATGTTAATGGTTGCTTATGTAGTTTGATGGAAAATTTCCACCAAACCCTCTTTCAATTCTTTAATCAAATCTCTACAAGAAGGAGTTTTCACTCATCTTGCAAAAGAGGCTACCTAAAAAAACTCTCCGAGTCATGTAATCAAGGATACTTCCAGTTGTTGTGCCCGTAGGAATCAGTAACTTTCAATTCTCAAAAATCTCCTGTATAGGTTTTTGCCTTGGAGCTGAAGATGACAATCATCTTTCCGTTTTTCCTACATCCATAGCTATTTTCCAATTTCCAGTGAACTAGTTCTTTTTTCTTTTTCAGTCAACTCAGTGAGTGTCTTCTCATTTTTGAGAAAGTCCTTAACTCTAGATGAAAGTTGTGCACCTATAACAGTTTCACTTGAAGAAACAAGAGAGATTTGAAGAAATAGAGAATGCTTTAGCTTTGCTGCCAAGTTTATGTAGGACAGCAGAAGGTGAGTTGTTGCCTATGGTTTGTGGATACAGATGGTAGAAACTCTGTTAATTGGAAGATGTTTGGATAAATGAAGATTTGGAGTTGCTGTTTCTCCAAGGTAAGATGGGGAATATAATAGGACGGTGGGTGTGACCAAGGAGCATGGTGTTGTCGGAAGGATGCTTTGTGGACATGCGCTGTTCAGTCCCTCTGGTGGTGGGTGTGGTTAGAGAGGAACAAGCTAATTTTTAACAAGGAGGAGGAAGTGGGTGAAATTTGGGGTAGATTTAGACTACTTGCTTCTCTTTGGGCTGCTTCTGTCAAAAGTATTTCAAGAATATTCCTTTTAGTGCAATCCTGGATTAGCTACTTGCAACTAAAAGGAATGATCCTAAATAAAACAGAATTTTCAATAACAGGTTCATTTCTAACCTAGCTGTTGCTACCGCACCACTTAACTTTAATGCAGCCCAGAATCCTTACAACCCTTTTGGCCAACTTGAAATAATCTTATATAGAGCGACAACAAAGAAAACTAATGAAAGAAACAATATTTGGAAAACAATTTGAGTGTCTTTTATTAGTCAAACTACCCTAATACCCTAATCATGATGGTAAATCAGAATAAAGCTGTTAAGAGTTTGTAACTGAGCTTGAACAAAGATATCCCACTTTATAAAAAAGCTAGATTTCATTGTGGTGAGTTGGTGAATGAAGTGGTAGTCAATTGCTTAGAGCTGGCATGGAGCTTGGGTATTGTTGTGAGTGGTTGTGTGGTCAATGACAATGGTAGTATCAAGTTTATTGTGTGGGAGATCTTTAATGTTCTTAGGTCGAAAACAGATTTAGGTTGACTGACTAGCTTTCCTTATCTCTTGCTTTTGATGGCTTCTGTTTTGTTGTTTCTTTAATTGCGTGAAGTCCAGGGTACACGTTGTCTGCTGTGTTGTATTTTATCTCTTTTCAATGAATGTTTTGTTTCTTGTAGGAAAAAACTTTACTAATATCATATAAGTGGTCATGTGATGAAAAAATTACAGCGGGTGATACTTCAACTGACTGAACAGACAATTATTGATTTATGGAATTTAGGTGTCAGAGTTTCAAGTCTAGGGACTAATTTTGGAACAGGTTTAAAAGTTAGGGTATTGGTCAATCTATTTTGAAATGTATGTGCATGTTAATGCGTCTACTTTTGGAAGTAACCTCAAATCTTGTGGTTATTCATCTGCAGTTAGGTCTTCAACGGTTGAAGGACTACCCTCAGCCCTTTTGGTTGGCTTTGTTTGTAGAAGGAACTCGTTTTACACAGGCCAAGCTTTCAGCAGCACAAGAATATGCAGCCTCAACAGGGCTGCCTGTACCTAGAAATGTTTTGATTCCTCGTACTAAGGTAAAATTCTTATTGCATCTTCCCATAATAAGGATTCAGTAATAATTATTTTTGTGGAATGCCTTTTCCGTTCCTTGCTGGTTAAGAATTCACCATCAGTAAAAGTACAATGTTCTGGAATCCTCCTTTACTGGCCCATTATTCTCTATCACACGTGTTCTGGGCTGTCTGGCATGTCTAATAACTTCCTGTTTCTTTCAGGGTTTTGTCTCTGCAGTAAGTAATATGCACTCATTTGTTCCGGCCATATATGATATAACGGTGGCTATTCCTAAGGCTTCACCTTCACCAACAATGCTAAGACTCTTTGAGGGGCGACCTTCTGTGGTAAGCCTAAACATACTTAAGATTTTAAAGATGCTGCTTAAATAATTTATATTTATGTTGTCGGATAGCATACAGGTTTGGGCATTAAATTCCTAACTAGCGTACCAGTACTGAAATAGACTATTAAAATGCACATTTTCGTTCAATTGGATAACAATCTGGCATTTTTGTGCAAGGCATTTTAAGAAAATCCATCCAGATAGTTGTGATGTGATGTGCAATGCGAGTAGTGAAAATGCCCTTTCATTCTCTTATTCTTTGTGGTATTGGATCACTAGTTGGTATGTCATTTTTCTGATATGACATTTAGGGCGCATGCTTTTCTAATATATTTTGCGTGGGTAATAGGAAGTGCTTTATGTCATCACTGGATGTCAACTACATAATTTGAAGCTATTCTCCCATCCTGTTATAATGCTAGATTTGCATACTCCAGTCATTTGGTTTTCACTTATTTTTACTGCTAACATCATACACAATGGCAGCAGTGTTGTGCACTGTGCTGCCCATTTCATATTTGGGTTTATATAAATTTGCTTGGTTGTTACTCTCTTGCAGGTGCATGTGCACATTAAGCGGCATTTAATGAAGGAATTACCTGAAACTGATGATGCTGTTGCCCAGTGGTGTAAAGATATATTTGTGGCAAAGGTGGTTACTATATTTTATGTTGCATGAACTTGTGTTCCTCGCATTTCTGTTATCTTTTGAAAAATAAAAGGAAGAAATGAAGATGACTTTGCACAATTATTCTTGAAATAAATTGAACTCAATAATCCGGTTTTCCTTTCCAATGATTCGTGTACCAGTCTTCTAATTCTGGTATCTTCTTATTTGCCTTTTGTACTCTAGGATGCATTGTTGGATAAACATACTGCAGAGCAAACTTTTGGCGATCAAGAATTGCAAACTACTGGCCGGCCACTAAAATCTCTTTTGGTGGGATACACACTCTTACAAGTCAATATTTTTTTTATTAGCATGTATTTTCTCTCTATGTTTTACGGGAGGTGTTTTGTAATTACTGCTAATTAACTTGAATTTTCGTGTAGGTTGTTGCGTCTTGGTCATGTCTACTTATTTTGGGGGCTCTGAAGTTCCTCCATTGGTCTTCACTTCTGTCCTCGTGGAAGGGTATTGGGTTCTCAACATTGGGTTTGGGCATTGTTACCGTCCTGATGCAGTTCTTGATTCGGTTTTCTCAGTCAGAGCATTCAACCCCTGCCCCGGTGTCTCCTGCAAAGAACGTTAGCAAAGGCGAGTCTTCAGGCAAAGCAGACAAACAGCAATAGAGTACACAGTTTGATATCCAGGCCTTTTGTAAGCGGGCGAGTTGTTACTCATGTGACTCATGTGCTTTGTCACCCCTGCCTTGCCTTAGTGATGTTCCTTCACCGTGCAGTGGTGCCCCTTTGATTTTGTAAAACACGTATTATGTATGCATATCTCAATTCATTAACGGTTGGTTGATTAGGGCAATTTCTGTATAGACTCCGAAAAATTGGCTTTATCAGCAGTGCTAGGTCTAGAATACTCCTATGAAATTACACTGCCTTTCACCTTGTTTGTCATTTTAAATGTCAGAAACCCTTCAATTTATCAGCATTAGTGACCATGGTGAAGCTTGGACTTGTAATTTTATTGCATTAATAGAGTAATGTGGTCAAATTTTCAATTATTCCATGATCTAAGGTAAGTGGTAGCAAACAACATGCTCATTTACTTTCGTAAGTTCTAGCAAACCCTTATTTCTTTAGGTTAGCCCTAGATTTTCAACCATGCTAATGGAGTGGATTCGAGGAAACCAAATGGCTTCACCACCATTTACACTACGAAACACAATAACTCATATTTTCAACTTTCAGTGTTTGACAAACCAAAAAACAAAAAAAAAAAAAAAAAAACTTTCAACGTTAATGGTTATGAATTGAAACTTAAAAAACCCATCTTCTCAACTCCAATAAAAATTGGAATCAAACGAAAAAAAATTGCATAAATCAATTCATACCTAAGTTGGAGATTTAAAACTTCAAAATCACCATCCATTGATAAAAAAAAAATTAAAAATTAAAAAAAAAAAAAAAAAGAAGCTTGTTTTCTTTATAAGAGCTCTTAGGATTTTAGCTGGAATAAATGTACGATAAACATTGCGTGAAACTAAGGTTTAATTATTGCTTGTGGATTTATTGATAAATTTTAGTTTTATTGTTGATCTTGTTATATACTTGATGGTAATTATGCGATAGGATAAGAAAGACAATTCACATTTAAAATTTTAGTTGGGTGTATAAAGAAGTTATATGGGTTCAAATAAAATTTCTCTTCGGAAAAATCACACACGACACGTCATTATGCTTTTGGTTTTTCTTGGAAATTTATTGTTTGAGTGTTATTTTCTGAAACTTTGGACCTTTGTTGTGTAATTGTTGGATTTAAATATTATTGTATCAAAAGAAAAGACAAGTGTTTATCCTGAAAGCGCGTTATATATCTCTTCTATAATCCATAAGCATTTATAATTATTAGTTCAGTATGTTTGGCCGTGAGCCTTTAAAGTCTGACAAAACTTTAGACCCAACTAGAAAATATGCCTGCGCTTTGTTGCGGGACTTGAATGCATCACCATGAACTGCATGAATAAGACACATTTTACCTAAATAAATTCTACACAATCATGAATGAACAGAAGGATAGATGAGTGAATGAGGTTGATAAGATAAACAACTTCATTTTTATATACATTCAACTTAGCTGACATGAAAAGACGTTGTAAAATTAACAGGACGAAATTGAACGTTCCTAATTACAAAAGATGTGGTTGCAAACAATGTTCTGTTTCCCTAATAAACAGAAGAAATAGAAGCAACATGCAGTTGACACAAATCTTGCCTCTACAATCAAGGTGGCAAAATATATGTCCTATAGGCTAGGCACCTGTTTTAGTAGTCAACAAAAAAACATAAAAAGTGTTCCGTTCTTGTTCTAGCATCTAAGTTTTCAAGCACAAACATTCAAAGAAAAAAAAACATGCAGGACACCTGTTTCCATAAGAAACAGAAGTAACATGCAATCCACACATTTTGTCCTTGCAGTTAAGATGAAAAAATATATGTCTTGCAGGCCAGATACCTGTTTCAGCAGTTAACAAAAAATATAAAAATGTTTCGTTCTTGTTCAAGCAACTAAGTTTTCAAGCAAAAATGTTGAAAACCAAAAACATGCAGAACGCCTGCAGTAGTCGATCATGGAGACTGTGGTGTTCACTTTTTTTGATAGTGGACATCTTCCACACTATAGCAAAAACATAAATCATAGTTTAACAAACACTACTATGATGGATGTTATGTAGGCGTGTGCGCGAAAAACAAATTGTAATTTACCTATCTTTGGCTTTTTGGTTTGAGATTTTGTTCTGAGAGTGTGGCTATCGGCACTTTGTCGGTTGGTTCAATTTTAGGGACAACCAAATTGTGGAATTCTCTAACAATTCTAGCAGAATTGGTTGTCTCTATTTGGTCGTTGTGAGGTTTTTTGCTATGAATCAAGGCACAAATTTATAAGGTTAGAGAGAAATGAGATAGCCATGAAAAAGAGTGCGAAAAAGTGGTGCGAAGGTTTTTCATGAGCAGCAAAACATATTCATATACCCAAGAAAAACATGTTTCTTAAGATTTACACAAGAGAACATTAATCGAGAGGAAAAACTTTACTTGTCATATTTGTCCGCTTGATCAGGAAACAACGTTGCCTTTGAAGTCTTGGTGGGTGCAGCTGATTGAGGTTGTTGATCTAGTAGTTGGGAAGGCGTCAATAGGGCAGGGGTCGCTTCAGTCATAATTTGTTTTCCTGCGGTGGCAACAGGTGTTTATGGTTTGACTAAGGCAATCGTTGGGCTTAAGAGTGGTGGTCTTGGAGTAGTCCATGAACGATGAAGTCCATCTTCCCAAAGTCACTGTTTTGATTTCCAAAAGAGTGCTAAAATTTTTTTCTTGCCGACCAAATTTTCTAGAGTTCACAGCACCATGAAAGGATCCTCATATCCGTCCTCTATTACCAGAGTATGGCAAGAAACACGAAGTATTTTTTCAGCATGTCTTCCTATCATGAGGAAGTTATCATATCTTCCACAAAAAGATCAATTTTGAACCTATGCAAGATGAGGATATTTTGTTGTTAGGCAACCATTACTACTAATACCAATCTTGTGAGCAATCTAGAAAATGCAGTAGAACCACCATAATGCAGGGCATGCATGAATAAAATCGATACAAAGACACAAATTATTTAGATATAATTCACTTCACATCAACATATTGTGCATAATGAAAAGCGTATATTTGAAAGTTTGAGAGGCTCTAAAGGTGTGCACTGCATGTTTAATTTCAAACTAATAAACACGTGTAAATATGAATTACCACGACTAAAAGACATAAAATTAGGATGAGTACAACCAAAAGACACACAAAACATATTGTTCTAGGCTACAACTCTTAATCGGAATGAATTTAAAATAATATCTCATGATCGCCCTGTTTAGAACTACAACTCTTAAGCAGAAAGTGAGAACCAAAGAGGAATTCTCCAAATGATTGTCAAAACATCTTTTTATAGGCTTATGAAATGAGTCCATAAATGTGTGAAATCATGCCTAAGATAATAGCATTTGAAATTATTCCTAAGATAATAGTGACATCCTCAAATTTATTAGCACAATGTTTCTGAAGCTAACAAGCAAGGCCTAGGATGCAACCACAGGGGCATACTTTGCATACATGAAGGACCATTTATGTATTATCGTTGTGGTTGTTCTCGAAACTCTTTAGTTTTTTCTTTAAAGGTGGGGAAAACAGTATAGGTGTAGACTATCCCAACACATCATAGCAGGAACATTTACAATAATATTACTAATATACCCCCAAGGGTAATGATTGGGGAGACCACCCTAATTTGTCGTAATCGTAGGAAAATAAAAAAGGATTCAGCAACTTAATATAACCATTAGATGTAAAATAGGTGCAAAAGAATATTATCATGGTTCCTGTTATCTATTTATGAAACCGTGTTCATTGCACTCAAACAATTTGTGGAAGTTCACTACCATTTTTCTGAAAATATTTCTAGTTCGTTGAGAGAGCCCAGCTGTCAACAACACTTATTAAAGCACTTCGGGGAGGATGAGAGAGTTCACTACCAGAAAAACCTAATGAAAACACCAACCAACCAAAACAACTGACCTCCGAACAACGATTTGGAAAATTGAGAACGCAACAAAGAAGGGAAGCAACCAACAAAAAAACATATAAAATGCCTAACAACACGTGATAAAGAATTAAGAAAACTGGGTTAAACCAGACTCACTGAGGCAACAAGAGACCTTCAAACAATAACATAATTGCACAAACAAAATTAAAACCAAAAAAAAAAAAAAAAAGAAAGAAACTATCAGACCTCTTGACAATCAGAAGTCACATAGACAACCAAGAATGAGAAACAAAGCATAGAGGAAACAAATAACATAAGCCAAAAAAACCAAACAATCAATTAAAAAAAATCATAAAACCGTGCTGTCTAAAACGGAAAACATGGGGAAACAATCAAAGTTCAAGACATACCAAAGCCTTGATTCAAACGCAATTGGCTCAGAACCCTTAGTTTAAATGTAGCAGCAAGAGCATATTACGATGTTGTGATGAGAGTCCTATCTAAACTGCAAAAAATAGTGAGATTCATAGTAAGAATTCGAAGCGCAAACAAGCGGACACAATAAAAGTAACTCAAACTGTGACAGTGCAATGAACTCAATCTGTGACAATGCACCAAACATGTTAGGTTTTGGCTCATCAATTAGTGTTCTTTTCTGTTTATGATTGTTTTAGGAAATAAAGGGTGCACTAATTCTTCTCCTAAAAGGGCTAGAAAAGAACCTTAGTTTCCTTATTCAATTTAGATTAAAAATCCTAGAAGTTTATTTGGAATTGGAAGGGAAGTCTAATTTCCGATTCCACTTAGAATAGGAATTATAATCTATAAAGGACATGTAAATTGCACCCTAGACCTGGCATTCGTGTCATACCCGATAGCTTAACGGGTCGTGTCGTGTAATACCCGTTAAAGTAAACAGGTAATATGACCCCGACTCGAAATCAACCTGTTAATATTATCAGGTAATATGACCCGACCCATTACCTGTTAAGAAAAATATATTTTAAATCAATAAAAATGAAAATGAAAAACATAATTTGACCCCAAAAAATGTAAAACATAATACTAAATCAGTATATACATACTAAATTTCAAAGTTGACCTGTGACATCCCACATCGCCCAAGGGTGTGATCCTTATATGTATTCCCATCCTTACCTAGCACGAGGCTTTTTGGGAGCTCACTGGCTTCGAGTTCCGTAGGAACTCCGAAGTTAAGCGAGAAGGGGGCTAGAGCAATCCCATGATGGGTGACCCACAGGGAAGTTGCTCGTGAGTTCTCAAAAACAAAACCGTGAGGGAATGGTAAGCCCAAAGCGGATTTTATCGTGCTATGGTGGTGGAGCAGGCCTGGGAAGTGATCTGTCCCGGGCCGGGATGTTACATGACCCCTTCATGAAAGTTGTAAAACTTTTCATTATGAGTGATTACATTTTTCACACTTCTACAATAATTATTATAAATTTTGCACTCAAA